ATCTCCCTCTCTGAACCAGGAAGAAGGGGGGATGACCTTATCTCTAGAAACTCTTATCAGTGCAGAAGGTGAGGGCTTAAATCTGCATATTAACCTTACTCTTGTTTACTGTGCTTTTCTGGTAATCTCCCATAACTGACTCCCCCCACCCCCAACATCCTCCTTTGTTTACCTGAATATGCTATTTAAGGTAAAAATCGCTGCCATTTGGAGAGACACTCAGTTTTCCTGGGTCTCTCCGATGTACACGTTATAAAGCTTTATTTGATTTTCTCCTGCTATTTGATCTCATGTCAATTTAATTTGTAGCCCAGCCAGAAAGGACTCAGAGCGGGTAGAGGATGGTCTTCCTCCCCTTCACTAGTAATTGCAAAAGCCTCATGGCTGCATTACCCTTGATCAACTTTGGATCCACAGACATTTTTTTCCAGCCATATTTATATTTTTTCTTTGACATTTTCTATTTACACAATTTTATATAATTTGTTTTGTCTCCCAAACCTTACAAATATTGTTCTATTTATAAACACATGCCAAGTTTATCAAGCCAAGTTTATATCATTGTCTCTTCAGTGAATTTTCTATTCTTCAAAATATTTAAAACAATTTTTTTGGTGAAGAAGATCGGCCCTGAGCTAACACCTGTTGCCAACCCTCCTCTTTTCCACTTGAGGAAGATTGGCCCTGAGCTAAGATCTGTGCCAATTTTCCCCTATTTTGTATGTGGGTCACTGCCACAGCATAGCTTGATGAGTGGTGTAGGTCTGCACCAAGGATCCTAACCCAGAAACCTGGGCCGCCAAAGCAGATTGCACTGAACTTAACCACTACGCCACCAGGCCAACCCCTTCAAAGTACTTTTTATGAGTCTATTATGGACTTAATGTTTGTGCCCCCTTAAAATTCATGTGTTAAAGCCCTAACCCCTAATGTGACTATATTTGGAGACAGGGCCTGTAGAGAGGTAATAAAGGTTAAGTAAGATCATAAGGGTAGGGCTGTAATCCAATAGGACTTGTGTCCTCATATGAAGGGGAAGAGACACCCAGGATGAGAGCACAGAGAAAAGGTGATGTGAGGACAGCAAGAAGATGGCCTCAAGAGAAACCAAATCTGCCAACACCTGACCTTGAACTTCCAGCCTCCAGAACTGGGAGTAATAAATGTCTGTTGTTTAAGCCCCCTCTACTTATTTAAGAATTAAGTAGAATTCTATTATGGCAGCCCGAGCAGACCAAGTCAGAGTCCTCACCAACTCTACAAACTCCAGGTAGGATCACATTCCCTTAATGCAATTTAATGGGAGACAAATTTCAGCCTGAAATGAAACACATCACTTGATAAAATTAGCTATAGGTGTAGATGAAATTAAAAACATGCTATGAAAAACAATTTTGTTTTTACAAAGTTTCCATCAAACTCAGCAACTCTCATAGTGGGATAACATGACATCATATACCTTTTAACGTGGTTCAGTAAGAATAACATGATGTCGCCTATAAAGCATTCTTACCAAAATGGTTTAATCCAACTCTAATCTAGACCTGACTTCCAGCGCATAAGAAACACAGGAGCTAGTGGAAGAAGTTAAATGATACTATGAGTAAACAACCAGACAGATCCAGAGTGGGGAACATTCTACAAGGCAACCACACCAAGCTCGTCAGAAAGGCAAGGTCATAAAAAAAAAAAAAAGGAACTGTTCTAGACTAAAGATATAACAACCAACTTCTATACATGAACTAAACTGGATCTTGGTTCCAAATACCAAAAAAAGAAAAAAAAAAAGTCTATAAAACACATTCCTGTAACAATCAGGGAAATACGAAGATAGCCTGGATACCAGATAACACCATTGCTAATTTCCTAGGTGAGACAATGTAGGAGAGAATGACCTTATTCTTAGGACACGGATCTTGAAATATCTAGGAGTGATGTGCCATGATGTGTACAACTTACTTTCAAAAACAAGACTACCAAAAATGTGTGCATGTGTGAAGAGAGAGGGAGGGAGGGAGGCAGGGAAAGAGGAAGAGAGAGCACACAAATATGGTAAAATGTCAGCTGCTGAATTTAAGGAGGGTTTATTCTTTCAACTTTTCTGTAACATTTGAATACATGCATAACGGAAAGTTGGGGAAGATTACACCAAACATATCTAGATCAGGATTTGAAGGAGGAGACTCTATGGACAGAATCCTATGAGCTCCCAAAATTCTCTGCAAAGTGATATATATAACTATGTATGTATACGTGCACATTTTTCCAGGGAAATGGTTCCCAATTTCCACCTGATACTCAAACTACTTTATAATCCCCCAAGGGGTATATAAATCACCACTCTAGAATGAAGAAAATATATGACAAATAAAAAAATAGCTAGACTTCAAACTCACTGCTTATATTTTTAAAAGTTCACAGGAAGCAGCCTAAAACCCCATCATGATCAGAACTATCTCAAGAGGTGGGGAGGCTGTTTTACTGTACATTAAGGGCAGGAGGTTCTCGGGAGCCGGGAAGAGATACAGCAGGCCTCCTGCAGTCCACACCCCGAGATGGAGGAGGTGCCGCTTCAAACACTGACTCCCAACGTTAAGAGCTCGGGACACTGCATTACAAACATTAGGTTGTCTTCATACTCTTTTCTCGTTAATAATTTTCAAACCAAGCAAGAGACAGAAAAGAGGGACAGAGATGCAGGAAGCAATGTTATTTTTCCACGCCTCAGTTGAAACGTGACCAACTGAGTCTCCCACACGTCTCTTCTCTGTGTTAAATTCTTCCAAGGACTCTCACTGCTTCACTGGTCTGCAACCTTTTTTTAAAGGCAGTGGAGCACTTTCCTTGAACAAAATCCTACCCATTAGCCCTAAAGACAGAACCAGTAAAAGTAGTCATCGGGAGGGAGGCCGTGGGCCAGGAGCCCAACCACCTGCCAAAGCCGCTCTCCGTCCTGCCAACAGGTCTAAGGAGCCGAGTCCAAGGTCCCCAGCCCGGCTTCGAAGCTGCAGCCCATCTCCGCTCCATTGTGCCCACGACGCCATGCTGTCTGCTACCTCGGCAACTCTGCCGGGATACAGTACAGGATGCTTGTGGGTCTGTCTCCTCCACCGGCCCCAAGCAACTCAGGCAGGCGCTGCATTTTACTCACTGTGTCCCTAGCATCTCTGGGTCCCGAGCCTGTCACACTCCAGGTGTGCTGTCTGCTGGGGACACTGGCTGGCAAAGCTCATCAGGGGGCCAGTGACATGAGCCTACGGGTTCCATCACTCCAGGCAAGGGAAGAATGTGAAGCCCAGACTTCCACTTACGTGTTTTTAAGTGCTTTCACATCTGTTCCCTCATTTGATCATCACAAAAGCCCTGGGAATCAGGCAGGAAATAATTCACACCCCTTGTCACAGAGGAGGAAACTGACGCAGGGGGAGGTTAAATGCTAGTGCAAGGTCACTTATGGGGCTGCAGCACACTTCTCTGAGCAGGCTCTAGGGGCAGTAAAAACCTACAAAAATAAAACATTCTCATAAATAAATCCAAATCTTTCATATAGACACACACATATGCTACTGGATAATTAGAAGCCTTTGGGGGAGATGGAGGGAAGAAACTTGGAGTTGAGAATATCTTTTTGTAATTCTCGTAATACTAATTTTGAGAAGAAAGAAAAAATATTGGCCATTTATACTTGAAAAAAATGGAAACGTGAAACAGTGACTAAGAAGAAAGCAATTCAGTAAAAAAAAAGGTTCAAAAATAAAAGAGTTTTGTATTATACTACTTGCTTTTACCAGTATTAACCTGAAATCTCTGGTATAAAGTGTTCTGGCATTTTATAGATTCTGCTGTACTTGGAAAACACAAGCTTTACATTTACAAAGGTTTTAACTAGTCAACCCTTATATTTAAAACATGAATTACTGATATATGATTTTATTAGGTTATTACATATTATTTTATTATGAAAGTAAAACAGACACATTAAAGAAAGTTTTGAAATTAGGTTTTAGAAAATGACCCAGAGGCTCAACACCATAAAATAACAACCTACTCGTGGTATTTTGATTCATTTCCTTCCAGTTCTTTTTACTATGTGGACAGGTTCCTTTTGGGTGTTTTATGATGTGGTAATCACACCACAAATGCCATTTCTTATCCTAATTTTTTTTCTCAATGTTATACCATAAGAGCTCTGCCAGATTATTCCATCATCTTCGTAACCACCATCTATAATTTACTGAATGACTATATAATCCTTTAAGTGGTTATACCACAGTTTACTTAACCATTCTCCTGTTTTTAGACAAGTAGGCTGTTGCCAAATTTTTACTATCATAAATAATGCTTTAATGACTACAACTTTTATTTTCTTCTTTTTCTTTTAGATAAATTCCTCAAGTACATTACCAGGTTAAAGCGGATGATAATTTTTAAGACTTTTGACATACACTGCCAAATTGCTTCCCCAAAGGTCTAATACACATTATCACCAGCAATGAAGGAGAACGCTTATTTGACTGAACTCTTATCAATAATCAGTAAATCATCTGTATCATTTTACTGCTATTTTTTGCTAATAAGTGAAAATACACCCTCACTATGCTACTGTGCATTTTTTCCCTAAGAATGTATACTTTTCCACCCTATGATTGCTGACTAGTTGAATTTCTTTTGTGAATTATTTATGACCATTATCCATTTATCAACTGGCTATTTATGCAGATTTGAAAGTAAATTTGTATGAATATTTTCTATAATTAAAATGTTAATTCAATGTTTACCATATTGGTGGGAAATATCATTTCTCCAATCTATGGGTCATTTAAAATTTTTGTTTTGATTTTTACCCGGACATGTTCACTGTTCTTTTCCTTTCTGATTCTTTCAGAGGCTTTTGAGCAGCTCCCCTTCCCCTGACCCCCTTCTCTGTGACAGTATGGAACTCACTTCCTCCTCAGCCCACGTGGCTTTAACACTGCACATGCACATTCAAGAGGCTTTACCTGCTGGTCATCAGGCGTCCATATGCCACATGTGATCTGACTTTCCAAGTTGATCTCAGATGACCAATGTCTTTGTCCACTGACAGAACCGACCAGGACAAACCCATCTCGATATGAAATAAGTGCTTGAGTCCCATCGTGGCTCCACGTGAAGTCACTCACCTTTGAGACACACACAGACAAAAGGAGTCAATCTGTAATCTGAAAGGGAAAGCACTTTTATCAAAGACTAGATATAGTCACCAACTTAGCTAAGACCTGGTAATGTACTTAACTTTGGCTAAGATCGAGATGGCCTTAAAGATAACAATATAATATATATAAAAATATATATAATATATTATAAAATATGTATGTATTATAACAATAATATATAATATAATAGACGTTATTTGAAAAGCATGTGTCAGCGTGGTGCTAAGTGCCTTGCACACGTTAATTCATTAAGCCTTGCCTGGGGGAGGTATCATCATGCCCACTTTACAGGGGAAACAGACACAGGGGACAAGTAACTTATCCTGGGTCACACACAGCAGGTGAGCGGCAGAGCCAATGATCTAGGCTGTGTGGCTCCAGAGTCCTTGCTTTTAGCCACTGTTCTACAGCCTCCCACTGACGGTGAGCAGCAGATCCTCCATCAGTGTCTCCTAGTCACTTATCAAAACAGTAAAGGTCTCAGGTTCTGATTACACACCTGTCTCAGTCTTGTTAACAACATTCCCTCAATCAAAATGAAATAAAACTTAACTGGAAAACATTACTTATACTTGGGTGGTGAGTTTTATCAAATGCATTTATTCAAATGATCACATATTTTTTCTCTTTTAATCTATGATTGCAGTGAATTACTTCTATGGATTTCCCAATATTTTACTATCCTTGCACACCTAGAAGAAGCCCAACCTAGAGGTGAAGTACTGTATTTTATACACAGAGTTGAAGTTGATTTGCTAATGAATTTCTATATCTGTATTTACGAATGAAACAAACTTGTGATTTCCTCTTTTGGAATGTCTTTGCCTGGATTTATCAGGGTTTTATGTTGACCTCTCAGAATGAGTTGGAGAGTGGTCCCTCTTTTTCCACTGCCTGGAAGAAATCTGCATAAACTGGGATGACCTGTTGCTTGAAAGTTTGGTACAACATGCCTGTAAGACCGTCTGGCTCTGTATTTTTTTGTGTGAAGATTTTTAACCATTGCTTCAATTTATTTAACAGTTTTAGTACCAGTCAAGCTTTCAAGATTTTTATTTCTTCTTGAGTCAGTTCTATTAAATTATTTCTTTTTTAGGAATTTGTCCATATCATGTAAGTTTTCAAAATTGTTGGCAAGTAGTTGTTGCTAGTTTATTATCCTTTAAAAACCAACTTTATTGAGGTATAATTTACATACAATAAAATAAAGTTGCCCTTGGCAGTCAACCCCTACCATCACCCTTGGTCTGAGGCAACCAGTGGTCTAATTTCTGTCACTAGTTGGTTATTCAAGAATTTTGCAAGAATGGAACTACATAGTATGTTCATTTTTGTGTATGGCTGCTTTTACTCAGTATAATGGTTTTGAGAGTATTCTGAAGTCTTGGATGCAGCAGTTCATTCCTTTTTACACATGAGTAATATTCCATTGTATAAATAGAGCACTATGTATTTGTCCACCCAATTTCGGGGCATTTGAGTTGCTTCCAGTATTTGGCTATTATAAAAGTGCTATGAAGATTCATGTGCAAGACTTTTTGTAGACACAGGGTTTCATTTCTCTTGAGTAAATGCTTAGGAGCAGAATTAACTGCTGGGTCACATGGTAACCGTATGTTTAACTGCATAAGAAATTACCAAACTCTCTTCCAGAGTGGTTATGCCATTTTATACTCCCAGCAGCAGCATATGAGGTATAGTAGGTCCACACCTCACCAACACTTGGTGTTGTCGGTCTTTTTTACTTTAGCTATTCTAGCAGGTATATAGCGGTACGACGTTGTGCTTTTAATTTGCATTTCCCCAATGACTAATATGTTGAGCACCATTTCATGTGCTTATCGATAATTTGCACATCATCTTTTGGGATACGTCTGTTCAAATCCCTTGCCATATATATCTACTCATATATCTATTCATATTCACCTATTCATATATATATATATACACACACATAATATATATGTGTGTATGTGTATATATAAATGAATAGATATATATGAATTTTCGACCTTCGTATTGTGTTGTAAAAATTCTAGATACAATCCTTTACCAGATATGTGTGCTGCAAATAATTTCCCCCACTCTGTGGCTTGCCTTTTCATTTTCTTAATGGTATCTTTCAAAGAGGAAAAGTTTTTTGTTTTTTTTTAATTTTTTGTTTATTGCAGTAACATTGGTTTATAACATTGTAAAAGTTTCAGGTGTACATCATTGTACTTCTATTTCTGCA